CATGCGCCCCCCTCCACTGGGGCCTTCGGTGGAGCTCCCTGTGGGGCCACGAAACGCCGTGCTGGGTGTGGCGGACGCATGCGCCCCCCAGTGGGACCTTCGGTGGAGCTCCCTATGGGGCCACGAAACGCTGTGCTGGGCTGGCGACGCATGCGCCCCCCCCCCCACTGGGGCCTTCGGTGGAGCTCCCTATGGGGCCACGAACGCTGTGCTGGGTGTGGCGGACGCATGCGCCCCCCCGCACTGAGGCCTCCGGTGGAGCTCCCTATGGGGCCACGAAGCGCCGTGCTGGGTGTGGCGGACGCATGCGCCCCCCCTCCACTGGGGCCTTCGGTGGAGCTCCTTATGGGGCCACGAAACGCCGTGCTGGGTGTGGCGGACGCATTGGGACCTTCGGTGGAGCTCCCTATGGGGCCACGAAACGCTGTGCTGGGCTGGCGAACGCATGCGCCCCCCCCCCCACTGGGGCCTTCGGTGGAGCTCCCTATGGGGCCACGAAACGCTGTGCTGGGTGTGGCGGACGCATGCGCCCCCCTCCACTGGGGCCTTCGGTGGAGTTCCCTATGGGGCCACGAAACGCCGGGTTGGGTTTGGCGGACGCATGCGCCCCCCCCAGTGGCACATTCGGTGGAGCTCCCTATGGGGCCACGAAAAGCTGTGCTGGGTGTGGCAGACGCACGTGCCCCCCCACACTGGGGCCTTCGGTGGAGCTCCCTACGGGGCCACGAAAAGCTGTGCTGAGTGTGCGGACGCATGCGCCCCCCCCCACTGGGGCCTTCGGTGGAGCTCCCAATGGGGCCACGAAACGCCGTGCTGGGTGTGGCGGACGCATGCGCCCCCCCCCACACCTTCGGTGGAGCTCCCTATGGGCCACGAAACGCTGTGCTGGGTGTGGCGGACGCATGCGCCCCCCCCCCACTGGAGCTCCCTATGGGGCCACGAAGCGCCGTGCTGGGTGTGGCGGACGCATGCGCCCCCCCCCACTGGGGCCTTCGGTGGAGCTCCCTATGGGGCCACAAAGCGCCGTGCTGGGTGTGGCGGACGCATGCGCCCCCCCCCACTGGGACCTTCGGTGGAGCTCCCTATGGGGTCACGAAACGCTGTGCTGGGTGTGGCGGACGCATGCGCCCCCCCCCCCCCCCCCCCCACTGGGGCCTTCGGTGGAGCTCCCTATGGGGCCACGAAACGCTGTGCTGGGTGTGGCGGACGCATGCGGGCTGTGCCAGTGGGACCTTCGGTGGAGCTCCCTATGGGGCTACGAAACGTGCGAGAGGTGTGCCGAGAGCAGAGGCAATGAGGGGGAGGAGGGAGGAGGGGGAGGGAGAAGCGGGAGGAGGAAGGAACGCGGGGCGCTGTCTCTTCAAAACGAGGACCCAAGACCACAGGATGGTTGGGAACAACACAAGCGCAAAGAAAACCACAGGGAAGGCTCGAGCTTCCAAACATGCTCCTCCATCGACGACGGAGGAGGCGGAGGGGGATGGGAAGGCGCGCAATATGTTCACGAGAGGGTCCAAAGGTAATCCAAATGAGGCTGCAAAGCGGACAGTCCCACATAATCATTCGAAACCTGCAGAAGGGGGATGAGGTGGAGCTTGGAAATGAAATGGAGGAGGTGTGAGGTTTGGGGGGCCTCTTGGGCCGTCTTGGAGCGTCGGAAGCTCGACAAGTCGAGGACCCCGAAAACACGAAAAAACCTAAGGAAAATGTATTATGTTTGTCTCTCGGGGCATCTTCTGGGACCTCTTGCGGCCACTGCAAGCCGCCCAGAGCCGTCCTGGCGCAGCCTGGAAGCTTCCGGAGGCCGTCCAACAGTCATCATCGGCGTTCTCGGGGTGCGTTGGACCAGCCCTGTAGAATTTCATAACAATTTTGGAGCCATCTGTGCGCCCATGAGGCCACTCTGGGGGCCACAGGGGCGCTCGTGGGGCCCCAGGACCAGCCATGCGTCACAGGGGCCGTGGTCCCCTGCCCGCCCGCTGCCTACTATATACATACATATCTATATATGTGTATATATATATATAAATATGTATACATCTAGATCGCTCCCACAACGAATGCGCACATATACACGTGCATAATCATCACTAGTATCCTCTTCTTCCTGCTCCTGCCTTTCGTACACCCTCCTCGTCATCGCCCCCCGTACACTTCCCTCCTCGCCCTCCTGGACCCGCTTTCATTCCAGGGCGCAAGTTGCTTATTACTCATCGGCTTTCCCAAAACAATCCCGTCTTGCGATTCATTCCTCTTCGGGGAGAAGTTTGCTACTCCCCCATACCCCTTTCCCGATCGATCGTGGGACGAGTCAAACCGAGTGACAGGACTAAGCAGCCTTTTGTTTCCTCATACTCAGACGTTCGTTGCTCCTGCCCGCACTTCAGGAGTTGAGAAGAGAACAGCTGCAATCATCGAGAAAGAATAGCCCCCCTCAGCGGTTCCTGGTAGTTGGGGCGCCCAAGATGAGTGGGAGGCCCGAAATGATCCACTTGGCATG